TGGATTTAATTTATTTTATAACTTCACATAAGTAAAATGTATAATATAGTAGGCAACGAATAAATAAATATACTATAAATAGCAAAATTACTATAAACAATCGTAAAAGTTAACTTTTATCCAGCCTCATCGTACCGCGCATGAGCAAATATATATTTCTTATTTTATTTTATTTGACTGTATGAACGCACACAAATAAGAATTATTTATTTCTTATTTTATTTTATTCTTATTTTATTTTATTTGGCTGTATGAACCCACCATGACTGTGGGGTGTGGAGGTTCGATAAGGAGGGGTTTCTCGAATCTCAAATTCCAAGAGGGTGAAAACGCCCCTCGAATATTACAATATTTGTTATTTATAAAACGGTTAGTCTTTCGGGCAAACGCTTGGACATTCATATTTTATAAAATTTTATCCCGTTTGCATGTTAATGGAAATTCTTGCTTTGCTTTATCATCACCATTACAAATGATTAATTCGACGCGAAAGTGCTTTTTTACTTTTATGCCTAGGCGTTAAAATGACTTTTTTATATTGTCCATCACGTCGCAAAAATTAATACTTTTGTGACGTTTGAAAAAACAATAAAATAATTTGTATATTTTTTTTAAACATTCGTTTTAGTGTCAAAGTTTTAATGGCGCCAGTTATAACAATAGATATCAAATTGCGTTTATTATAGGGGGCGTATTTTTAGTTCACTATAGTTTTTTTTTTCTACCAAAGTATTTATCAATGTGAAATATAATATTTCGATTATATTGAGTCACACACACTTGATTCGTCGATATTGAGTACTTCATGATGATTCCTGTAATATTTTGTTTGGAATAAAATAATATTTTTAAAAATATATATTGAAATTTGTTTATTACTTTTAATGATGCTGATGCGGTTCGTCAATGCGCCAATGCGTCGATGCGCGGAGATTCTACAGAATATTGGTTTGTGGGCGAACCATCAAAAGAAATGTCACGATCACAATCTGTCATTTTAATTTCAAAGTAGTTTATTTTATTATGGAAAGAGATAAATTGGTACAATCGGAAGGCATAGCAGGAAATTAATATATTTAAAATTTGAGTGACAAGTGATTACTTCAAAATATTGTGAAAAAAAAACTGTATAAAACTGAAAAAATCTATTCGAGTTAATTTTATTTTTTTTTATTAAAAAAATGTGTTAATACAAAACAAACAAGAACAAAACATCACATACCAAAAAATATAAAAAAAACTATTTTTTACTTTCAAGCTTCAAGAACCTTCCCGCATTTATTATTATATTTATCAATATAACTTATGTAGAAATACAAATTTGTAATATTCCACAGGAATAAATAAAATAAACTATTTTATTAATAATACCTTAAAGATAATAATACTTAGGTACCGAATTTTATACCTTAAAGGTTGATTAATTAACTTTAAATTTAATTTTTTTAAACCAGGACCTTTTGACATTACTTTTCTGCAGTACTAAAATCCATTATTTACCTATCGTGTGATGTCGTTATTTTAAAGATACTCCAGTTTTTAGTATATGTTTACTACGATATACGAGACGCACTTATCAATGACGAGATGGTATACAAATTTTATTGATGGTAACTTTTTTGGTGTATAAGACTTTCTGCCTGGACACCGAGTATTAACTATAAACTGTGTTCTGGATCTACAGTTAATTTTCCCTCGATTTTTCCTCCGCTTGACACAAAACACAAGTAATAACACGAATCAAAATGCATCATCTTCTAAAACGCAGGATATTTGACATAAGTTGACACAAAATTATAACCTATAATTTGGCAAGACTTTGACAAGCCTCAAAAATCTAAAGGCGAGTTCATACGCATCGGCGTCCGGCGTTTGAGGTTCATCGTTCCGTCAAAACAATAAAATTGAAATATGATCTGTCATTTTTGAAATAAACCAATAAAACTGGCTAAAAACAACAAGAGACGACGCATGCCGGATTTATATTTAAACCCATCCATAGTTAACGTAAAAAATGTTAGAAACTTTTTTTAGTAAAATAAATAGATTGGTATGGGACGTCATCTGCTATTCTTCTGTCATCGTCTGTCAAAATCTTACCTGAGAAAAAAAAACAGAGTATAAATGGATTACATATATTATACATTATACATTGTGACTAAATGTTCGTAGTTATAAAAATTGTTATAAAAATATAAAATTCTAATAAAAATAGATAAGTTATAATAATTATCGGTTACGGCTCGTAAGACCAAAATGCTTCTGGTTTGTAGGACCAAAATGTATCTTGGCGGAGAACCAAAATCTGGATGACTCTGGTAGTTGGACTGTCGAAGAACCAGTTGAAATAACATTCAACAACGATAACTTTTACACACTTATATTGTAGACAAATATAACATAAGTGAAACTTATTAATAATACTTAAAATAAGAACGTTTAAAATTTCTCGTAACAATATTATAAAAGCCAAAGAAAAAGTATGTAACTGTCGATATGCGGATGGCGTCTTTCGACGCGTCGTGCGTACTCTGGACGCGTAAAGCGTACTCTCTTTAAAACCGCTTTTCAGTCTCTTAAATAATGTCTCCATAAAATAATAAATACAAGAAAAAGTGTCAAGTCAATGTTAAATTATGGAAACAGCGTGGCTGCCTGGGTAACTAATTTTCAGATATGGCGGCTGGGACATTTGACATGACATAGACATGACAATTTCAATTTTATGAAATTTATTTCCAATTCCGGTTTTTAATGGCGGGCTGTTCAGGAGGTTTAAATCAGGGTTAATATACTTTTTACTCTTTCTAGTAGTAAATAATACAACAAAATTACTCAAAAATATTTATTTGAAATTTAGAACAATGTAAATATGCAAATCAACACAATTAAAGAGCTATAAACACAAACTACTGTATCAATATCAAAATATTTAAATAACATCAGAGATGCTGTGTTAAAGTGAATTAGTAAAGTAACAGTGCACTGACTTACAGAAACATGAAGATAAATAAATGTTTTCACAGCTTCACGGGCGTAAAACTAACTAACTGGAAGCAGGAAAAAGACAACAGGAACCCACGCAAAACCTGGAACCAAAAAAAATATGTAAAAAACATAAATATAGGTACATAAGACTTTTGTGAATTAAATCAAACAGGACTTGAATGAAAATAAAATGAATAAAAAATATGATACATATACATCTAATACCTCATTTGTATTTTAAAAATAATCTACATACATAGATTTATAGCAGTATTGCTATGAAAATACATAATAGGTACCTATGTGATATGTAATTACGCATTTCTATTCATCTTGTAGATAATTAATGTAGGCTCAGTTCAATAACCATAATTTACCTTCTGTAACTTGCTTTCAATTGCTCAAAATCACCGATCAGTCTTTAAAGTAGAGATAGGGAAAAATCCTTGGTAAAGAATATCCCAAGATCCTTGGATCTAAAGCTAAAAAAAATATAAAAACAGTTAATATATTACCTATTTTTACATATAATATGGCCCATACCTACTACACGCAGAAACGTCGATTTCATCATTTTCTTCATGTAATTAATACCATATATACTTTATTAAAGTGTTAACAAGGAACTTTATATCAAAAAACATCTTTGTACTTATAAATTTCAGCCGAAATATCATAAACAAACTTCCAATCAAATCTAACACGGCAAAAATTAAAATGGCGCCCGACCTTGCCAGAGGCCTCGGGAGTTGACACATGGCTGACACACAGACAAAAGAAGTGGACGCCGACGTGCATAAAAATGTTCCGTAACAGAAATTGACAGAAATCATATAGAAATATTCAGATTTTTGTCTAGGACAGTCTAGAAGGCCATGCTTTCTGCTTGGGTAGGACCGCGCCCCAACTGTTTCCAATTTTCCGGTTTACTGTCACCCCCCTGAATGTCTCACTTCAAAAATATTCATAGCCGTATGTACAATACAATTTTCATGTTCTTAAATCTAATATTCAGAACAGTGGACGACACTGCCCTAACCTTACATTGTTTAGATAGATAGACGTCTGCGACAGATATATAGTTTTATGATCAAAATTCCCAGTGGTAATAGTTAAGTTAAAGTTATAATTTTACGAATATAAAATAGGGTCGTTTATCATCTTAAAGGTAAGGTACCTTAACAAGGTTTTTATAATGGGAAATTTCTTCAACTTTGTTAACAGAGTAGAGTAACTTTATACTATAAAGAATTATTATAATCTAACAAAAATGCCTTAGCTATCCTGAACAATTATTTATAACCATAAACATCAAATACGCTACTGAAGCAGGTAAGTCAAACTGACGTATCTAAATTCTTTGACATCTAATTTTTAAAAAGTAGTAAATAAAAGCAAAAATGCAAGAAAAAATATATAATTAGTTAATTTAAGTGAATTTCGATGATCGGTTTACTACACGTATGTATATTAGATAGTCACTTACTAGCGAAAAGTTGTTCCATTATTTCACTCGATTTTTGCCGAGATCTACCGCACGCTACACAACCAACTATTTTAGAGTTTTTTTCGATAAATCGCGATAGTGTCACTGTTAATTTAAGTTCTGCCACAATTTCCATCTAGATTTACTACCTTTATACAACTATCAGTAGTAGAATAAATAATAAATAACATAAAATAAGCTCCACAAAATTTCAAATCAAATTCAAATGTGTCCAATAAATCGTCATACAGAACTGTCAAGGATCCCCACCCTAGAGTCCTTTTTTCCGCCCATCATGCATGGATACATGGATAGCATTATGCTCCTTCCTTAGTCTTCTTATTCAAAGCCTAAAACAGAATAAACAGTTCCAATGCCACAACTACACAAGCCATTTGTACGATTAATTTGCCTACCGTCGATACCTCGACTGCACAATCGATGCCAGTGACGTAGTTAAAAAATAAAGCGGTAACCATGGCAACCTATCGCGCGCTTGCCTCGTTCAAAAACGATACAAAACAACACGCTATATCGAAAGAATACCACCTGAGTCACAGCTAGCTTGGTGCGGTGTGTCGAAGTACTACCTACAGCGTTTGCTAAACAGCCGTTCGAGGTTCAGTCGTACCGCAACAGTGAAAGGGTACTCGGTACCTTCAGATTAAAGGGTTTTCTCGTGTTTTTTCTGTTACCGTGACTCTGTGTGATTTTTTTGTGTTTGGATTGGTTGATTTTGGATTTAAAACTGTAGTTTTGTTGGTGTGTCTCTTAGGGATTGGAATTATGGTAGGTAACATCAATATTTATTGACGTTTTTGATTAAAACTGATAAAACTACAAACGGTTTGTGTCCAGGAAGGTAAAACCTTAGATATATTAATGTTTTTTTAGCATGAAACATGAAACTGTCTAAAAAAGGCTGTTTTTTTTCACTGCACAGAGATATATAGTAAAATGCTACACTGTGTTATAATCTAAACGTGTGCCTAATCAACAAAAAAAGCTTAATATTTTAGGAGGTATATCTCCTCCAGCGGCGTAGCGTGGCGTCTATACAAGGGGATGTAATAAGTAACTGTAATTAACATTTTACCAACACAGAAAAGTTTTTTTCTATTTTTTTATTAATAATTTTTTTTACCTTTAATTTTGAAGTTACAAAAATAAAATATACAAAAAATGTAACAGGTTAAAAAATAATCACCACCCCATAAATTTCGTTTTCTTCTCACTAAACACTAAGCATACTTTTTGCGCTTGATTTTCTAGGCTTTTGGTCACACCGATATCAGCTCTGTCCTATCTCTTAAGAAGATAACTAAATCATCTGCAAAGGCTAAGCATTGGTGTCTTTTTGTATACAGAAGGCCCTTTCTGTAGATTCCCGCATCTCTTATAACTTTTTCTAATACTGCACTAAACAGTACTGGAGATAGTGGATCCCCCTGTCTTAATCGATCCGTCCCTGATTATACATTATTCCGTTGTTTTCTTGTTTATTTAGACTTCATTTACTGTCTCTTGGAGTGTCAATTATACTTAAATTAATTTGATGAAATTATAAAGGTTTTTAAATAAAAAAATCATTGTTTTCATAAAATTTGGACCATGGAAACAACTTTATTTTTATTCTCTCTCATAATTTTTGTGAATGTCACGTCTGTTCCTGATAAATTATTCAGCTTATCACCTAGCAGTAATAACCTTCTCTGATAACAGAGATTATTACACTAAAATATCGCACGTTCCACAGAAAATCTATTAGAATTAGCTGATAAGAGTTTGGTCCTAGAATTGAAACCTCTAGAACACAAACATTCGTTCACCCTTGTATATGGGGTATTTTATATTGATTTATTCTCGTTTCTTGGGGCTGTTTCTTTTGTTTGTATGTTGAACAGCTTGATTCCAGTGTACAACGACCGCTGGTCAATGTTTTGGTCAACGGAATGCCGCTGGAATGTTGCTAAAGTGGGACACACTGCGAGAAACCGAGATGTATAGTTCGAGCACTGTAACTAGGCATACCTATTCCGGGATGGATCTAATATAAAAAAATTGTTCGCGAAAAAAAACTCATAGAAGTGTTTCTGGGATCGAAATATACTACCAACCCTAAAAAGATTTGCACTTTATTTAAGATTTACCCTGTATTATTAATTATTAGCCTGGGGAAGGCAAACAAACTCTTAATATATTCCTAGTTCCAGTACCACGACTATACGCGGATATGTTGTACAACTAGGAAAAATTTTTCGCGATCTCCGCTTTCATCATCATAGACGAAATTATCAAGGTCTAATCGCGGAATCTACCAGTATGATTGCTTGAATTTCGATTAAAAAACAATAACAGATTAAAATAAGCCAGTTATCGTCAGCTGTATCGAAGATTTTGCGATTTTTTACGGTAATTTTAACGTAAAATTCGAATTTTCGAAATACTCCGCTTGAATAACCAGTAAAATCCTCCAAATCGGTATTTGGAGGGCTTAGAAACTCGCATGGACTTAGGTCAGGGTTGTTTGATGGCCAATCTGCAAGAGAAATACGGCTTGGTTGAGCATTAACTTTGCTGAAGCGTGTTGAAGTGTGAATATGGGTATTGAATGTGGTATTCTTGAAGGTTTTGAATATATTTTTGTATTATTTATGTTTTCAGAATATTTAATTATCCGTTATTTAGTAGTGGAAGTTGCAAAAAATTGCTGCATTAAAAATCACAATAACATAGATAGATGTGAAACAATAAAGTGGATGAAAATATGTAAACAACAATGATATACACTCGAAATAATACATTGTAAATCCCGCCATAGTGCCATAGTGGTTTCAATAAACCCAACATTTGTTGATATATAAACAAACAATCATTTCTTGTAATATATCATATATTATGAATGTTTAACGTTTTACTCTATAATTACGTATTTCTTTGAGATTTTTAGAATCATACTGAAGCAAATAGGAAATTACTTGTGTGTTGTAAACGCAAGATATATTCTCTTTGTTATTATTTGTGACGTCTTAATGTCTTAACGGATCTATTATATATTATTATTATTAAAGTAGCTCCATTGTGAGTATAAAGTGGTTTTTGTTGTCCAATAAAGTGCAATCATTATACAAGCGCAAATTTGGTCGCTCAACACGTGTTTGGGTTATTTCATTACGATTTATTTTCTGTGCTATAGGACTATGATGTCTAATGTAGGTTAGGTACATTAAAAATATGCTATGATATTCATATTATCCCTATATAAGGATCATCAATTATTATCTGAAATGGATTTGTTAGAAATTATTGTAAACAATTCTATATGGAAGTGGTTGTAATAACAAGTGTCCTAAAATGGACGTAAAGTTATTTATATTAAATTCATTTTCGGTTTTCTTAGCCATTATTTTTCTATTTCGATTTTAGAAATAGGCTTAGAATAGACTTAGAACTCCCTTTCAAGCCAGTATCTGAGACGGATTTTACATAGGCCAATTCTCCATCTCCATCTCCGATATCAGTCCTACCTTGGGTCGTACCAAAGTTTAGAGCACGAATGTTTCTCGTCTCGGCGTACTCAGATTATTGAGGCGGTCATTGAAGAGACAACGTCATTGGCATAGTTTTAAGTTCTTTTTTATTTGATTGATCCATTTTTTTTTACTTTTAAGAACTACTTTATATTACAAAGTAATTATTTTTTTAAACTATATTGTACAAGCAACACCAGATGTTGCATAGACTTATAACTATCGATATTCGTGTTAAAATAATTGAATTGTATTGCGATATTGACATACTTATCGAAATAGAAAAAAGAAAATTCGTTACTAACTTTCACCAAGGAACCAAAAACTGAAAAATCACCTAACAACGTATACTTATTACTTAATTTTGATATATTTATGTCTTTTTTAAATATTTGAGTAACAGAAATAACATCGAGAATAGTTGAAATGCACTAATTAACAAATTTAAGAATAATTTTTTGGTTCGGTAGTTTATTTAAGGTTTTTTTATGGTATAGTTTTGAAATGTGTTCTAAAAAATTTGAACATTATGTAATTGCAGAAATTTTAAGTATATTTATAGCACAGGAACCCAAGCACTGCCAGAATGACATAATTACTATTAGTATATATTAATTATAGTAAAAAATATAGTCTAGCATCTAAAAATAATAATTTTTTAGTCAGTATTACAAAGAGTTTATACTATTTGTTAACAACTGCAGGAATACTACCTAGATAGTAAAACAACTAAAATAACTAAATTATTTATTGAAATAAGAAGATTTAGTGAAAGTAGACCACTTTTGACAACGTCGCTTTTATAATCTGAGAGACCTGTGTTGATCAATCAGCAACGAGTCTTTGAAAAAAATAAAACTATTGGTAAATTTCCAAGCTACGTTAGCTTTTAACAACAAACCTATTAAAGCGTAAAAGACTCTGTATAATAGAACAAGAAAAAAAACTTAATAGAAAATAATTCCAAGAAATACATTGTATATTATGTGTTGTATGTTTATATACAGGGTGTCACAAACTTATTGATGTTACAGCAGTTTCCACTAACATCGGCGTTAGAAAAAGGAAATCCCATGCAAATTTTGAATTGTCTGAATATTGGGTCCTAAATTAGATGCAGATTTTCTGAAATTAGTGAAAATAGGCTTTCCCAAAATTGTTCAAATTTGGCTGGTGTCGATGCACCACCCGGTATATAGACAAAATTGTAAGTTTAATATGTATGGTATACCGGTTATACAATATGGTAATCAAAAAACTTGTTTTTTATTTTATTTTTGATGAGAAAGAGATGAAAAAAAAAGTGATTTACGTAATTAATACCAAACGTTTTACTAGGAACTACTTAATCAAGTACTATTGTCTATAACTCGTGATACAACTTTGGAAAAATGGTATTTAGAAAACACAATGAAGGCACAGCTTGTACATAATTCTTATACATGTATCAATATTATTAAAATATAGAATTGTAGTAATTTCAAATAAAACAATTATATACGTCTATATAAACAAATTATCTATTGATGTTACTGTATTTATAAATAATTTAATAATTAAAACATAGTAATAATATCTTGTTTATTGTTTCATCTTTTGTATCTGTATTTCTATTGTTTTTCTGTCTGTTTGATCCTATGATTAATTCACTATTCGTGATTTAAAAGGCTAATTAATTGTTAGAAATTAAAAAAGATTGATATGAATTATTAAAGTTTATTAATAATTTATTTGCAAAATTCTGAAAATCTGTTTTTACACCCAAAATATCATTAAGTAAAAGATAATTGCATAGTACTGAAAGATACTGACAAAACTGAAAAGTACTGACTGAACCAAAAAGTACTTAATTTTTTTTACTGAAATTCGAAGGAATTTGTATAACTGTTCTGAATATTTGTCCACCTTTAAACAATTAGAAACTTAAACTTATACATACATCCGATATGTTGGCACATCGTTTGCATGCTGTTAAACCATAAATATTATAATTAAGAGACAGAATATTGAAATTTGTTGTATTGGTTTACTAAACAGAATTATATAAAGGGTGTTATATAAAACATGTCTCATCCCCCATGTAAAAACAAAATTTATTTTTTATATCAACATATAGGTCGGATTCTGCTGTGTTTCGTATAGCTACAGTGGCTACAGTGGGTAATACATATTTTAGAGCTAAAAAAGTGACGACATATTCACTAGGGACGTACATGCATATGGGCAAATATTTGAATCATTTTAACAAGCTCAACTTGT